TAAAAACTGAAAGGTTCTAAAACTAACTGACTGCAAATGATGATTTCCAGATACAGACGGAGGCTTCCATTTCATCTGGTTCATTGATAATTATCCCCCTTCACAAACAGCAAAATCTAATTTAGAGTTTTTCCCCACACGTCTTTAACAAAGTCTGAATATTGAACGTTTGATTTTAATTCATCTATTAACTGATTTTTACCGTATTGTTTGTGCTTTGAATCTTGTAGGTTTCTTATATTTAAATTTTGTGCTGCAATTTCTAAATCTTGCTGATTTACAAAAGAATAACATTAGAATTTTTTTCCTTGTAAATGATTTCTGAGATTTTATTGCATGTTTCATATCCATATAAATCTGTTTTATCTTTATATCTGAAGCTGTCCCTGCTTCTGTCTCTGTGCTCTGCTGAAACACACAACATTAAGGTGTCTACTACACTGCAAAACAGAGCTAGAAATAAGTCAACATTTCTTAGATTAAGTGTATTTAGCTTTATTTTGAGCAAATAAGATACTCTGCCAATGGAAGGAGTATTTTTACTCTTAAAACAAAATAATTAGATAATATGCTTCGGAAATAAGACAATGCAATCTGTTTTCCTATTATAAATGTAAATTGTCTTGTTCCATTGGCAAAGTGTCTCACTTACCTCCTCAATTCAAGAAAAAAAAATCACTTATTTTAATAAAATATGACTTATCTAGATTTCGATTTTCTCCAAGGTAATATAATGATGCTAGAGAAACTATTTCTAGAACTGCTGCAGTCTGGTAAATTTCTGTTGAATAAGAAAAGGATAAATATGAGTTGGTTTTTATCCTCTGAGGAGCTGAGAGGAATTGCTTCTTTTTAACCAGTGAAGAAGAAAACATTTAAACATTTAAACGCTGCATGTGTCAAACTTATTGCCTTTAAATACTAACATAAACACTCTGTTGCTGTTGAATTTTCTAAAGCTGCGCACGTCTAAAGGCTTTTTCGGTGGCATCTCTTTTATTTGTTGTTCTTAAACAACCTGACTCGTAACTCTTAGTTCAAAATAAAACGTGAAGTAGCTGCCGGTTTAAATTTACTGCTGCTGTGTTGTCTCTGCTCCGATCACTACAGCATACGCAGTGAATAGCCAATGCAATCATATGGGCTAATTTCAGAGTGTATACAAAAGGAAATTTCATTTAGTATAGCTTTTTCAACAGTAAATGAACATTTCCATTCCATAAAGTGCAGCAGTGATCAAATGTAAACAGTGTGGGAGAAAATAAAAAAATACATGGTGCAGAAAATGCATTGATGTGGAAGTTCAGAGCATTAATATACACGGTGCAAATCTGTCCTTTTTAAACTGCAGCCTGTGCAGCTTTTTTTTACTCACAGCTTCTAATTTTTGACCCTGTTTCCCAAAAAGGTTATAGACCAACAAATGTTTATCTTATGTCCAAGAATGGAAACTGGATCTACTTCTTTTTCATCGTTACCGACGGCGTTTTACGGCCAATGGACTGTGGCCTTTCCTCATTCAATTCCTGCTCCTTATCTGCCACGCAAGCCTTCTATTTGCAGGCGTGTCGCAACTCACAAGTGAAGAACTCACTTCCGGTTGAACTTTAGTTGAGGATCTTCTGGCCATGGCAGCAGAGGAACGAAACATGGAAGTTTTAGTAGACCTGCAAAACAAAGGTAATTCTTTCAGAGTACCTTTTATTTCTTTGGTTACTTCTTGTTTCCACTCTACGATAAAAGAATAAAAACATTTCAAAACCATAAACCAACAATGAAAAGGATATAAAGATCATCTGTAGTGGCTTTGGAAAGCTGCTCCACACTGCAAAAAATGTAAATCTACATAAGTAATTTTTTTCCTAATATAAGTGCATTTTTTCTTGAATTGAGGAGGAAAGTGAGACATTTTGCCAATGGAACAAGACAATTAATATTTAAAATAAGAAAAATACAATTGCATTGTCTTGTTTCAAGTGCATATTATCTAATTATCTTATTCTTAGAGTGAAAATACTCATCCTATTGGCAAACTGTCTCATTTACCTACTCAAATTAAGGAAAATACAATTAATTTAAGACATTTTTACAAATTTCTAGATCGTTTTTCCAGCGCATCATCATTGATCAGGGAAAAAAAAGGAAACATCTGGGGATTGTTTCCATGTCTGAACCTCATAAATGAATGAAATCCTGAATTTCCTTACTGTTCTAACTCTATGATCAATCAGGTAATGATTAGGTAAGAAAACTCCCATTTTATTTTCAACTGTGATCTAATAAAGAACATCTTATTTCTGTTGTTAGAGACAAAGAACACATTTTGTAAAACGAAAAAAAAAATAAAATAAAAAATGCAACCCAGAAATCAACCTGAAAACGTTATTACTCACAAAAAGCTTTTGAAGTTAAATGTTTTTCTGAAGAAAAACAGTATTTCATATATAAAATGTAAAATATAACTTAAAATAATC